TGCGAATGAAAAGGGAAGGGATGGGATTGGGTGGTGGTTTTTTGTGTGGGGGGGGGGGGGGGGGGATTTGATGTAACGGAGCTCGAGTATGATCGCATGAAGCATAGTCCAAAGGACGAAAGCTCTTCCTTGAAAAAATCAGGCGCGTCGTTTGCGGGGATGTGAGCACGAATGGGAGCAGTGGAGACGCGATAAGAACCGCAGCGCGTACAGAAGAGGAAACGGAGGAAAGTGGAATAGCGTCTCTGACGCGCATCTTGCGCGCCTCCTTCTTGGGACAGCGCGCAGTGTGGCAGTAGTGCGAGTCCGAAGGGGACGTGAAAGTGAGAGAGGAGAGCGAGCGATGAAGCGAGAGTAGGGCTGAGCCAGAGAGCTCCGAGCTCGACGTCACATCCGCTCTGCCCACCTCGGCGATCTGCTCTCTTTACGCGCAACTGGAGCAACAGATGAATCTCGCCTCATGCCTATTCGCGGCGATGCAGTGTGCGAGTAAGACGGAACGTGAAGAGGGTGGTAGGCGGAGGTGGGGCTGTAGAGACAGACAGACACACACAGAGAGAGAGAGAGAGAGAGAGAGAGAGAGAGAGAGACTGGGTGGGTAGGGGATCGCGTACGGAGACTGAGCGGCACGTGCACTTGCGGAGGCGAGCGAACGCGTTGAAACGTGTGCGTGTGCCTCGTCTCGCATCGCCTAACGCTGGCCGCGAGAGCGACTAGATCACGGCCTTTGGTCCATTGTTTAGCGCGATTATGCTCGCAACGTGGCTTCCCGTGCGTCTGCGCATTGCCATATCGATGCACTTTATAGTTGGGTATTACCGTCCGACTTACGCAAGAGTCGCCGCTAGCGAGCGACGCAACGGAAGAAAATGTGTGCACCGCCTCGTATTTTCAGTCCTCGTGATGAATATTTCATCCGCAGCTTCTTGCCCGTTGTTGCTTGTGCTGCTGCTGCCACTGCCATTGCTGTTTTTAAATCGTTACCGTAAGCCGAGTGCCGAGTACCGAGAGCCGAGAGCCGAGAGCCGAGAGCCGAGAGCCGAGAGCCGAGAGCCGAGAGTCCGGAGCCAAAAGTCTCGGTGTAAACAAGACACGAGACAACTAACTTTATCGAATGATCGTTAAGCAATGGATTTGGCATTTGGCTCGGGAGAATGTAGCGGGTGCATCGAACATCGTATGAAGATGTCAACTTATATTCCGTCGCGAGCGAATAAATTTTCCATTTGCAGTCGAGTCGTTGAGAACCCGTCGTTTATCTCCTTAATCGAATTCACCAAACGATGCCACGTAACGTCTTCTTCATTGGTCATTTCTTTTACATGCTCAATGCGAGATGTTTATTAGTTACTCGATTCACCGTATTTATCCGAGCTGAGCCACCAAAGTTCTCGTTGTCAATGAAATTAATAATCGTTTAATTGAAAAAATAGATAAATAAGCGGACATTGGATTGATTACGTACAAAATTTCGACAGATTTCTTTTAGATAAGTGCAATCAGAGGTAATGATCATTGATGTATGGAAATCTGCCATTATAAAATGTACATTTTCAAGCCAAACGAATTATCTTTAACAAATATTAGTTCCGAGTATGAGGAATTCGAATACATTTATCGATACTGTAACCATCGCTATGAAAGTCAATGGTTCCGCATGCTGACGCGAGTACATAAATTAATTTTCTTGCGGGTGCTGCGTCGTACCTCCTCCAGATACACACGACCGCGCTAACAGATAAATAGACAAAGAGAGTGATAGATAGATAGAGAGATAGAGAGAGAGAGATAGATAGATAGATAGATAGATAGATAGAGAGAGAGAGAGAGAGAGAGAGAGAGAGAGAGAGAGAGAGAGAGATGGGGAAAGAAGGGGAGAGAAGGAAAGAGGAAGAGGAAGAGGAAGAGAGAGAAAGAGAGAGAGAGAGAGAGACGCATATAAATTACTCGTAGAATGTTTTCTAATAAAATGGTCGTGAGCGCGAGATGTCCCGTGTAAATAACTTGGGTCCTGGATCGTGGAGCTATCGTAATCGTTGGCACGAGCGCCGGAACAATGGCAGTGTCAGGTAAGAGAAGGAAAAGGAATGATGGACTCCAAAGGAGAGTAGAGAAAAGCGATAAGCGATGGTGGGAGAATTGTAATTGTAATTGGGATGGGGAAGAGGAAGGGGAATAGGTAATGAGGGAAGGGGGAGGGGGATAAGTTGGGACGATGGAGGGGTCGTCGAGAGTATGCATCATTCGTCCGCGCGCACCTCCTGCCCGCAGCCTAATACGTCTTTAACCGCAATCCATAAATCACATTAGTATGCGAAGGAGCGAGACAAGAGGTCGCGACGACGCGCTCGAGATAAAAACTGCTTGTCGAGTCGTCGCCGTTACAAAATAAGACGAGGGGGGATTTATAAACAAACGAGCTACTGCGCCAGTCCCGGAAACGCAGTTCCCGCTTTAAGCTCCGAGGAAACTAATGCCGGACGCGTCCGATTGTTACGAGCGACGATCAACATCATCCGCGTGATTTTTCAGCTGCGCCCAAGGTTGAATGGAGGTTACCTCGTTAGCGCGACTTCCGCCACTCTCTGTCTCTCTCTCTCTCTGTCTCTCTCTCTCTCTCTCTCTCTCTCTCTCTATCTATCTATCTATCTATCTATCTCCCATTCACTCGGCGCTTTTAATTCAGCGAGAACGGGGTCTCGTTTGGATTCATCCCTAAAAAAAGCAAACCGGAAGTTCTGGTTTCAGCCAGTTGTAAAAATTGTAAAAGAGTGGCGATCTCTCATTTTAAAAATCAAGTCCAATGCTACATGGTAATAAAAGATCATCTTTGAATAATGTTGTCTCGATGGAATTGAAAGAGCCGATCGATCGATCGATCGCGCGTGCGGCCTCCACTCGCTGGCATAACAAATGCCTTTTTCCTTTTATTTACGATTATGCCGTCCTTACGATCCCTTCCCCTAGTCCCGCGTTAGTCCAACTCACTCGCCCGTGGAACGCGATGAGAGAATCGACCTGCTAAGAAATCGAGCGTATCTAATAATTCCTTGATAAGGATCGAAGCTCCGTAAGACCGCTATTGAGATTTTCCCCTCGACTCGCATTCACTTCTCTCTCTCTCTCTCTCTCTCTCTCTCTCTAACGTACGTTTTACCGCACCAACAACAGTGCATACAAAATTGGCGCTGTCGAGCTCTTATAGATCAGCTGGTGAATAATCCAACGATCCAACCGACGGTTTTTCACGCGAAGAGGTCAAGTCCTGGGAATCGAGCGAGACTGCACAAGGCAGGAGAGAAAGATCGGACGAAGGTGCTAATTTATATTCATTAGGTGGTGGTGATGGTGGTGGCCCTATGAAGGAATACCGTATGCGTAGCCTCGGACTCCCGGACGACGTTCGCGCGCCTACAAAATGCAGAATCCGCTAATGGTAACTGCTCGTGTGGACAGTTTTCGCGGGAATTTCGGTGCTTAATAAGCGCGCGGCAACCGGATATAACCGTAGAAAATTCCCTCGGCTTTCAGTTAGCGCTCGTTAGACGCGCGCGTGCGCACTCTATTCGCCAAGTCGCGGCGCATAAAATATTAACGGGCATAAATCGCCCGTACCGCGTTATTTCGTTCCCATGCTGTCGACGTCCGCGACTCGACTCGCCTCGCCTCGCCTCTCCGCACTCGGCGTGCGGCGAATGAAAACTGGAAAAGATGCAGCACCGCCAGAGAGAAAGGGACTCTATATTTATTCATCCTCTCCATTTCTTCCAATATCAAACCGCCCACGATCATCGCTTACCACCAGCATTCACTTGGCTGACATTCACGCTCCAGTATAACCTCATCCCTGACCCGCGCACCCTTGCAAATATCCGGAATGTCGCCGGAAAGTCCGCGCAAATGTGATATCAGCGATCAGCGCGGAGCGTCGCCGAGGAAAATTGGATGGCGCCACGCCAACGGCGAGTGGCCCTTTCGCCTACGCGTGTCCTCATTGCTCGAGCGACAATAGAAATTTACGGGACAAAAAATTTCTACTAAATGTAATTATCAGCAATCGTATATCATGGATAGATTATTGTACGTCCGTGTTATCGCATAATGCTTGTCCATTCAATTTATCGACACCTCGAGGCAACTCAACTATGTCAAACGCGATTTCAGATTATTCCAAGTGTTTCCAATTGCTTATTGTATAATAATGAAGTAAAGAAAAGTGGCACTAAAGATTTTCGATATATCGATAGGAAAATCTTTTCTTATAATTTCATGCTCTAAAATTGTTTTAACGATAAATTATCCCGATACTGGATTAAGATTTTTTTAAGCCGTCTCATTAAAGAGAGTAGAGAGAGTAGAGAGAGAGAGAGAGAGAGAGAGAGAGAGCGTGCCCTTTTATTTATTTCTGTACTACTTTGGATTTCGGAATGAAGAAAAAGGGACGTTATAAAGCACCTTTCCTTTTTAATGGGGAAATTATTAATGTGCATTGTGCTCCGAAAATATGCTGTGCCGGAATTACCGGGAGAAAAGAGAAAGGTTTCCGGCTGCTGTTTATTTAGCATATTATGTGTATGTTTACCTAGTGCGAAAATCAATTTCGCTTTCACTCGCATGTACTATTTAAATATTTTTGAGTCAATTAATTTATCAGCATTAAAGTCATAGCTTTTTTTGTTGAATAAAACCATAGCTGAATCAAAGCATTGTAATAATAAGATAAAAAAAAACTTTTTAGATGGCTATTGGCAGAGCAAATCTTACGATATTTAGCAAATTATTGTACTCGAATGTCTTGCCGAGATTCGCATAAAAAAAAATCAACGATAAAATTATAAATAAATGTAACGGATTTATTATATCGCCTCGTCTATAATTGCTATTTTGGCATAAGTCGGTTATTAATTAGATAGGTACGGGTGAATATAAAAGTCCGTGTCCAAAGTCTCTTGTTGCTTTTGTTTAGATGATAACGATGATAAATAGTAACTATAACTTACCAATTTTGCCGTTGGGACTGTAAGGGTCGTAACTGCCTGAGCTCATGGGACTGGCGTAACCATTATTGCTGGGTGGCTGGGATCCAATGACGCTCTGCTGTTGCTGTTGCTGCTGCTGTTGTTGCTGATTCTGGGTGATGGGCGTCGAGTGGGCCATCGGCGGCTGCTGCTGATGCACAGGCTGAGGCGTGTGTTGTTGTTGTTGTTGTTGTTGCTGCTGCTGTTGTGGTTGTTGTTGTTTTTGTTGTTGTTGTTGTTTGTTGTTGTTGTTGTTGTTGTTGTTGTTGTTGTTGTTGTTGTTGTTGTTGTTGTTGCTGCTGCTGTTGTTGCGCCGAGATGTAGAGGTGCTGCTGGGGTAGAGGGCCCTTGGGCGATTCCGGGGCCAGCCAATCGTCGGTCCTCGGGCGTTTGTTGCTGGCGGCGATGCCGGCAAAGAGTCCGACACCGCCGTTACCGCTCGGTCGGCTCGCTGAGCTGGTACCCGATGTCACGGCCGACTGCTGTCCTTCCGGGGCCTCAGCCTTTACCAGGCCCAGGGCCGGCTGGAGTTCCGGCTGCTGGGCCTCCATACCGACGAGCGCCTGGTGTTGCTGATGCTGGTGATGGTGATGTTGTTGCACCTGTTGCTGGAGTTGGTGATGGTGATGATGATGATGATGGTGGTGGTGATGATGGTGGTGAGGCTGCGACTGTGGCTGCTGCTGCTGCTGCTGCTGCTGCTGCTGCTGCTGCTGCTGTTGCTGTTGCTGCTGTTGTTGCTGTTGCTGCTGCTGTTGGTGCTGGTGGTGATGCTGGTGGTGGGCCGCTACGCTGCTTCCTAGGGGGCCTCCTGTCGCTGCTACGACTAGCCGGGATGCGGGGGCCAGCACGAGAGCTCCCGCCCCCACGACGGCCGACGCCTCATCGTAGCGCACAGCGACGTTGCCGCTCACTAAGCTGGCCACCGTGACACGCGAGCTTCAACCGCGCAGCCGAGCCACCGCTCGAGAGCCGCCGGTCGCGCACCTCCACCGATCCTTTTCGTCTCGGATCAGCCGGAGGAGATCCCCACGACTTTTTGCTGCCCTCGTCCTCGTCCCAACTCGCTGTGGCCTCGACGGATTCGCGTTCGACGCTCTCTGAAACACAATCGAGTAGAGTTTATTAATTAGCGCTCCTCTACCGTTCCTCCAACAAGGCTCTCAGGCTCTTCGATTCGGTTAACTATGGCTGTCCTCCCCTCACCCATCCGCTACTCTCACACGTCACTCCAGCCAAGCCTATATGTTCTCTATTAATAATAAAATCTCTAATATTCGTCATATTAACGATGGCTAGTGATAAGGCTAGGGAGAGTTGGCAGGATGCTTTAGAATTTATCGAAAATATTATCTAAAGTGATTCGAATGCTCAATTGAAAACTGCATAGGATCATAAGGAGGTAACGCGCCAGGTAACGCGCCAGGTAACGCGCCAGGTAACGCGCCAGGTAACGACACAAAAGGCGAATTTCTTTTTAAGTGCGTGCTCCAGGATTGTAATCGACCAAGGACTCATTGCCCTTGGTTATGTCGAACGATGTCGAATCCAGCAAGACGTCTTAACTTCGACCTCTATCGAGCATAAAAACATTAATAGGCTTTTCCTCGACTGCGCAAAATAGGTAAAAGAAATGCCGCGTTAGTGTTCTCCCTATTTCAGCACCCCTCTCCTGATAATCCAGGATAAAAACACCTAGAGCCTAATGTCGCCGTAAGACTGGTCAAGCAGCTTCTTCGCGGGGAGTTGGGTATGCGAAGAGTGACTTGTAATGACCGCGCGTGAGTCCCAACGAATTATGACGTGCGCGCGCGTTTTCCCGTTTGTATATGCGTTTGTGTGAAGGCGCGTACGTGAAAGTGTATGTGTGTCTGTAATATACGAACGAGGGGCGGCGGGGTGGGATGGCGGTTGGGGGGGGGGGGGGGAAGGGCGCGTGGAATATCGGTGGTGGGAGGGGAGGGGAGGGTCCGGTTCGATGTTCGAGCGAGTGCTAACGAAGCACGTGACTCGACGGTCAGGTCGAAGCCTCTCCGCGTCTCTTCCTGATCGGCAGCTCCTGCGGGCGTCTGCGATAACGGTGTTAGACAGAGAGAGAGAGAGAGAGAGAGAGAGAGAGAGACGGAGAGTGAGAGAGATACGGAGAGTGAGAGAGATACGGAGAGTGAGAGAGAAAGAAAGGGAGGGAGAAACGCGGTGCCGAAAGTATCCCGGGTGACCGCTACCCATGCCTAGCATCATTTGCACCTCCGTTTGCCGCTGGGCACATGTTCGCGGCTGCCGCGGGCTTTTTGCTTCGCTGTCGAATATAATGGAAACGCGTTGAGCGTCGGCCTCGAGAGAGCAAAAAGAGACAGGCGCTTGTTTACGCCTCGGTCCCCGTCGACTCCTACCTCGGTTTCTCCTCGGCGGCAACTGCTTTCCTCCAGCTCCTTTCACGCTGCGGTCCAGCCTGACGGGCGGTCCAAAGTTTTTATTAACACGGGTGTGCCGGACGATTATTATTTATCGATTATTGTAATAGCGCGCTATTTATCGCGCTCTGACTGTTAAAAAGATCGTTCGCGCGTTTATGAAGATAAGACGCAGTGCGAGCTTGTTTTTTGTTTTGCGTAGACCATCGGTGTGAGATCTTTCGTTGTATTGAGCGAAATTTAGATTCTGGAATAGAACAACGCGGGGACGCTTCAACAGAATTCGCGTTGGTAAATAGTTGGAATTGGTCCTTTTAATTATTCCTTTCTTTCAATTCAATTAAATAAGAATATTGCGTGGACTCGTATTTCGTATATCGAATCTGTAATATTCCGTTCAATTTCCTCCATTACTCTCTGCTCACTCATTAAATGCTAAGGAGCTTCAATCGTTTTTTTTTCTTCAAATAAATCAATTTATTCATATGCAAGCATTTACATTTTAGTATTTATCAGATAATTTACGTTTCATCAGAAGATATTGTTAACGTAGTTGATAGTTTACTTTTCACATGCATTTTTCGAAGATTTGAAAGTTATAATATGCTAATACGAGCTCGTATTCTTATATCAAATGCAGAATGTTAATTGCGAAGGTGAAATGTTTGGATCGTTAGATTACGCAGTCGTGATTACGATCGAATGTCTGAATTGTTACGTCAATATTTATTGCGAAGACCAGGGAATAAGACGCCAAACTCTATCGATCGTGTCAAATTCTGTGTATTGTATTGTAATTTTTTATGCAAAAACAGCGGTTTTCATCATTTTTGTTCGGGATTGTTTTTTTTTCTATACATACATTATTTGTGCAATTTCTAACGCTAAACTATAGCAATGCCTTATCAAATGAGATATTTTATTTGAACGTAAACTCCTATTATAAATTGTTCTATTATAATCTGTCTTAACGAAAAGATACTAAGTATTAATGGTAAATGTATCGTTTAATAATTTAGTCTTAAAAAATTCTAGGCTACGTAGTGAGAAGTCAATTGAATCGCATGACATTTAGCTTTCACCTGATTTTAAGAAAATCTTGGTTTTATAAGTATGAATGAAAATATTCATTCTAGTTTATTATTACTTTCAAAATCCACATAATGTACGAGTGTGAAAAACTTAAAAAATTTGCAACTTATAGAACTTTGCTTGAACGCGTGTCTGAAATGTTAAAAAGAAGCTAATTATAAGATAGTAATTCGATTAAAAATATAATTATATATATATATATATATATATATATATATAGAAATACTATTAAAAATATAAATATATATATATATATATATATATATATATATATATATATATATATATATATATATATATGTAATAGTCATTTAAAATTAAATTTTGCCTCGTTAACAATTTTGTTTATGAATATAAATTTTTTTTTACACTTTTATAGAATCTTGCGATATCGATGCATTTATCGATTCTCGAATGACTTAAAGTAGATTATTACGAAATAAAACGTCTTTTCCAGTTATATTCAGCGCCATGATTTAACCGCCATAATCTGCCGTGCGTAAATTAAATATGAACTCCAATGAGTGAGAACAATGTAAAAAATTGTATTATTGTATTATATCGCAGCGACAAAACAATGCGGCACTTTATATTTTATTCCTCCTGAACGTATTTTCACTCGACTATGCACTCCCAATGCTTATTCCAATGCACTCGACGCGGCTACAGAATCACAGATACGATCGATATGACGACAGCCATGTGAAATATGGCATCGATAAGGAGGCATGGAAGCTCGACAGGAAGGGAGAGCCCCTCGGATATTCTCCGGGAGCTGGCTCACGATGTCCAGGACTCTCCGAAGGATTCACGGATTTAGCAGCTGATTCGGACGGTTGCGGATCCCGATCACGAGCTCCTTCCCGTTGGGCTTGGCCGCGCGCGTTCTGCCATGACGAGGTAGTGGTGCGCGAGCTAGTGAGAAAAAGAAAGCCGAGAGAGCTCGAAGCACGAGTGCTAACTTCTGTGTACCACCTTTTATTTCGATGCCTCCGATAATTGCGCGTGCACGCCCTCCTCCTCCCCCCCCCCCCCCCCCCTCCACCTTGTTTTTTATTCTCTTGCGAGAGTGCGAGTTGCGCAAAGTCGAACGACGTCGTCGTCGTACACTCGCGACCTTCGCTGAGATTCGCGGGGTTTTGCGATAAATCATTGGCCGCCGATAACGAGAGCCTGGCTACTACTTTCCCTCTTAACGTCGCGACCTGAAATATCATCAGCTTGTCTTTTCATTAGGATAGGCTTAATAATAGTAATAGTAGCCTTGGTATTGGTTGTATTGATATAGCGAGCGACGGTTTCGACGATTTGGGGGACAAGGAAATTTTGGGACGAGATGAACGATAGATTCTCGATGCCATTAACGGAGGTGCTTCAAGATTGGAAAAACAAGCGGGAAGTAACGAGAAATTGTTTAGAAATTGATTTTGAAATCTTTACTTTAACCGGGTACAAAGATTACCGAGTGTATCATAAATCAAACAGAACCTAATTTGTTTCACTCGAGTCGTCTTTGCACAAGAATTGTAGTTTGAACGATTCTAGTAGGTGACTAATGCGCGGAATATAAATTTGTCAAGATATGTTAATTTTCATTTCAAATTACACGTATTTATCAACTGTTTGTTCACAAAATGTAGTCATTGCGAAATTGTGAAACAGGTCGTATACGAGAAAAGGACTCGAGTTAGGTTTGGCGGTGCCGCGCGATCAAAGTGTTTCTTAAAAATCATTGAAAAAAAAGAAGGTGAAAGAAAAGTAAAAAAACGGAACAGAAAATGAAAAAATAAAAGGAACAAGATCAAAGGATTCGGAAAGGAATATTTCTCGTCTTTTTTTCTTATTATCCCGAGCTTAATGACTCGAGCGCCGTCCGAAATATCGGGCAAAATGGAAATTGAAATGTGTTGGAACGAGTTGGACACAACCTTGCGCGATACAAGTGAGCAATGAATCCAAACGCAGTCGTCATTATTAGTTTGCACAATTACTTTTGACAATGAGAGTAGGACATTAGAGGATAATCTTGGCAATAAAGAATATCAAAGTCGCGAGAACCGCGCGGTAAAATGACGACGTCAATGCCGGGGCAATTTGTTGAAAAAACTTTGTCATGCGTAATTGGGTAAAAATCGACGTGGATCGGTGA